TGTTTAAACTCTCTCAATTCTTCGCAACTCTTTTGTTGCGATATTTGGAGAACGGAATTCATTTAAACGATAATTTAATTTTTTTAAAGATACAGTTGTTACAGAACTCTTGAAAGTGTACAACAAGTTGCAGTAGCACGAATAAGTAGAACGTGGACAGTATTTTCCTCTCAGCATTAAATTTCTTTTCTCTCCTCGAAATGTATTACGTTACGGTTTAAATGCCCACATGATTTCTAGCGAACTGAATACAGATAACTGCATTAATATCGTCTCGTGACTCGTGCAGGTTCTCTTTTCTCCTCAGAATAGATAATGGCGACAGAAGGGTGTCTTTTTCTCACAGTGGTAATTGAATCTTTACCGAAGGCACGTAAAACGTCGTAGGAAGCTCGAGCAACCTACGTCGTTGAATTATTAATAGCCAGTGAAAGTTTCATTGTGTCTTTCCCTGGAAACCCGTAGAACGTGATCGGCAACACGGAAGAACGTAAAGTATTAATGATCGTCAGCTGGCCTCATAATACGTCGGACTGATTTAAGCTTCTTAGCACTTTTATCGGCACTAAACGCGACCCTCGACGAGCGCACGCCTCCCGGTCCTCGTGTTCGCTTCCGTCGCGGCGATCTTCGTAGACAGTTTCGGAGCAGCGTCGTTCGATAAACGAATAACCTTGACTCGGTGATTCGTTTCCCCAGAAAGCAACGTTGTTTCGATTTTCACTTGTGTTTTTTCATCTCCGTGTGTTTTTATTGAAATTCAAATTTCACGGAAATCAATAACATAATTGAAATTCAAATAGCGGCAGTTTAAATTTATCCACGGCGGAATTCAATCGCGAAAGCTGGAAATTTAATTTCCCGCTCAGAGTTTCTTGAATATTAATCGCTTTATTTCGACTGTCAACAATTTAATCCGTTACCGCTTCGGATTCCGCGGAAATCGTATTCGCGTTTTCGAGCCTTTGCTTTCTGAGAAATCTTTCGATGTTTTCTTTTTTTTTTTCTCTTTAGTATTATTAAATGATTCGCATGTAGGTCACACACCTTCTTCTTTGTTTACAACAGCGGATTCGATTTGGTCGGCGAAAATTCTTCTCCCGTGAACATTACGTTTAATATTCATCCCACGTTTCGACCTTACGTCAGGTCCTCTTCAGGAATAAATTAAATACATAATTCATACTCGCCTTCTTGCACTATCGTTTCGTTTGTTACGCCGTGTTAAAAATAAAATTAAAGGTCGGTGGTTGTAGCTAATACACTTCCTCTTAGAAAAAGACGAGTATCTACGCAAAGCTTCGTCTGGATTGAACAGAGATAAGGAAAGGGTTAAGGAAATCACAGCCAAATGGGGGCCATTTTTTCAACTGAGAAATCACGAACCCCCAATTTTTCGATTTTATTTTGTTATTGTATCAGCAAAGGAAACTAAGATTCGCCGAAGGAGAAGATCCAAAAAGTAGACGAATTCCATTCGCTGAAAGGCATAATCGGGGTCCATTTTTCCACCAGCATTCAACGATTTAATTCGACCGAGTCGCGTATCCCTCCAGCGAGATACCGAAAGTTGGTGGCTTCCCGGAACGATTGACTCGTGCTTTATGAAAATTTTACGAGCCCGCGTTTTCCAGCTCTTTTGAAATTTCTTCACGCTTCCCGGGTAAATAATAAAGTTTTACGACGGTAGGACTTATCGCTTTCGAGCGTTCCGCCGTCCGAATATCGCGCCACGAGACGACGACCGGGATCTCGAGTTCCATCGAGCGCGGCGTCTGAAAATATTGTCAGTTTCCTTGAGGATTGTGTAGCGTGGCGCTTAAACGGAACGTGGAATACGGGTTCTAGGAGGAATTCAGCCGCGGCGGTGCTCGAGATCGAGTGCCCGCACAATGGCACTCCTGGAAGAAATAACTCCTTCCCTCGATCGTCGAACGTAAACGTACCGCCTTGCTAATACCACGCGAGTTCGCTATTTTATTATTTTCTCGCGTCGCTTTGCCTTCGATGTTACCTCAAATTTTCTGGTATTTTTACGTAACCGCGTTGGACGTTTCTTCTGAAAAGGCTGATCGATTGTTTACGTTTCGTGGGGACCGTTTTGGAAATGGTAGAAATGGTAATTTGGAAAGAGGAATTGTTTTTGAGGATTGGAGTGCGTGTGAATTGGATTTAAGGGGTCAGTTAGGAAAATGGTAAAAATGGCACAAATGGTAAAAATGGTAATTTGGAAGGAGGAATTATTCTTGAGGATTGGAGTGGATGTGAATTGGATTTATGGGGTCAGTTATGGAAATGGTAAAAATGGTAATTTGGAAGCAGGAATTGTTCTTGAGCATTGCAGTGGTTATAACTTGGATTTATGGGTTCAGTTGTGGAAATGGTAAAAATGGTAATTTGGAAGGAGGAATTGTTCTTGACGATCGGAGTGGCTGTGAATGGGATTCATGGGGTCAATTATGGAAATGATAAAAATGGTAAAAATGGTAATTTGGAAGCAGGAATTGTTCTTGAGAATTGCAGTGGCTATGACTTGGATTTATGGGGCCAGTTGTTGAAATGGTACAAATGGTACAAATGGTAAAAATGGTAATTTGGAAGCTATTATACTCTAAATACCAATATTTCGAAGCAATATTTCAATCTTCGTTCCACCCATCGACACATAAAATTAATTTTTGGTAGTCACCATAAACGGGGACGACAGATTTCGGAACGACCTGGCTCGGTAACAGCGATGCATTTCGAGTTGACGACAATTTCCCGGTGACGTATCAAAACAATGCCTCTAATTCGAGAGCGTCGGCAACTGTGACGGTAATTTAATCGACGTAGCACAACTTTTAGCCCCGACGTCAGCCAGCGTGTGTCGCCCCCGCGGCAAACTTCCCCGACGAATTTGCAATGTAAACCTCCGCGGAACGACACGTGTACGATCTTCCTACGGACGCGACCGTGTTCCCAGCACGGGCTGTCGATAAAAATTCTTGCATTCAGGGCCCTTCACCCTCGGGCACCCTTACCACTGTGCCATTTCGTTGACGAGATTCTCGGGTTAAATTTCTTCGTGCTGGATCGAGCAACTGGATTTTACGAATCGATCTCTTGAATGCACATCTTGCATTTTATTTTATTTTTTATTTGTAATTTAAAAGGGAATTCGTGCTTTCGTGAGATTCATTGGAATTGGGGGTGGTTTTTGTTTGACATGGGGAGACAGTGCGTGGGTTCCTTTAGAAGGGGGCATGGTTCTCCAGAAGAGAGGTATATTTTTATTTACTTTTAAAGTGTTTGAATATAATTTTTGGCGGGCAAAATATTAACCCTTCTAATCGCAACACTGAACAGATAGGGAACTAAAGACACCGACTCGATCTTTAATAAAAGGATGATTTAAAACATGAATCAAAATAGGTACATAATTATTCCCAACATAGAAAATTTATAGAATCGAAGAATAAACGAAATAGATGAACGTTAAAATTCATACGAATAATATTTACTCTTCTAGCTGCAATACTGATCACCTAGAAAAACATGAGAATACCTCGTGCAATTCTTACATATGAAATAATGTAGAATATGAATCAAACTAAGAATTATGTAATTATCCCCAACGTACAAAATAAAAGAATTGAACAAACGTTAAAGAATAAAAATAGGAGAATCCGAGCCTGGGAAAAGATTCTTTTCCCACAATGTATGTTAATTAAATCAAACGGTCGAGTTGCCCCGCGGAAGGAAGTCCGTTCTCGCGTTTCGACGACCGATCATAAAGTCGATGGAGCGTTATAAAGTCAAAAAAGATGGTTCGCAGTCGGCGTTGCACGCAAAGATACGGTTATTACCCGCAGGGTGCGGGAACTTTGAAATATTCAGCGGCCTGGCGGCGCGGCCCGGTATGAATATAATTCCGGGCATTGTCCCACAAAAATTGATTCCTTCACGCGTGTCAGCGTGTCACCCTAACAAACATGAAAGATTAAAATCCGCCGAAAGCCCGCAATCCCCTGCGCCCACGGTCGAAATTAAATTGGACTTACAGGTGGCATAGACGGACGGACAAGGATCATTTAAATTTTAAAGTGCCCCGCGTGCCTGTCGCGAAATTCGAGCCAGTGGTCCTCATTTCCGCTCCCGTTCCTGCCATTTCTCAGAACAATCGAGAAACATCAGCAAACTGTACGGAAATTTCCGAGTGAACATTTTAAATAATTCACTGGCATCTATTATTAGTGAAGTGTATTTTAATTACATTGTATTTTCATTATACCTGTATTCCTGTTATTAAATGAAATTATTCGATTCGAGCTACAGGAAGTAATTCCTTGAATACTTTAAAAAACAGAAACTGGTTCCTATTATTCTCTTATAGAATTGCATTTCGATTATAATTATATTTTTCTTTTTGAAGAAATCACTATGAGTTACAATGATGTAATTCCTTCAATCGTTTGGGAAACATACATGTGCTGAAATATTTCTCGAGCGAATTCGCAAAAATTCTTAGCAACGAGTGAATATTTCTGTAAATAATTAAAAGAAAAGAATTAAGATGAACAGTATCTCTGACAGTATTTTAACATATCGCCCGAAGAAACTTTCGACTACCCCGACCAACATTCCCGCTCTTCTAAATAAATAATATCTTCTAATTTATCGATCCCCCAGCTTCGTACTTCGCCGAACGCCCCAACGTTTCGTCAAACACGCGCGGTGGCCCTCTCTCGACGAATCTGCAACGATGTATCACCTCGCAAAGTTTGTACTGGAAAACCGCATGCACAGGAAACAGAACAGAGTCGCGCTCGCGTCGAAGGATTGCGCAATCAGCGCGACTCGCGTACCCAGCCCGCGAGAGTTGCATAATTCCCTTTTGTGTCTTCTCGGCTGGCACGAAAACACAGTTGCACGCGAGCACACAGTTCTGCCCGGCGTAGAACAGGATTTCGTCGACCTTTAAACCATTTTCACCATTGATGACGCGGCCGTGAGGGAAACGGTGTCAGCTTTTCCTTCGCGTCCGAAGCCAGGTTTCTCCGTCGGCAGGAAACAAACATCTCGCAATTCAAGATCTCCCAGGACCTTGAAGATAAATCCTACGGAGCCGACGCGAGGAACGATACACACGCCTTGGTTCCCGGAATGTTGCTCTTTTTACATTCGATTCTGCGGCGTGAAGTTTCTCGATAGCGATGGGGAAGCGTTAGTTTTTAACAGAAGGACGTCGAAATTTTTAATTGTTTTCTGATAGCATTCGTGAGTGAGTGAGAATAAACAGGGTTACGTGCACTTTTTGGTCCACTAAAAATGGAACACGTTGCAATTGAATTATCATACACAGTGGAAACATCAAACCAGTGATGAGCAAAACCCTAGACTTCGACTATCTTCAGCATGCAACTCGCTAAAAATGATAATAAAAGAATACAAAAATTCCATGCAAAATTCCACTCGCTAATTTCTCCGTACATCAGAACGGTATCTTCAGCCTGTCAACCAGAAACTAGAGGCCAAGAAAGTAATTTCGAAAAAGTGCACCGATGACGCTTTTTCGAACGAGTTTCTCCCCCGATCGGTCCTCGCGTCTCGTTTAAATCTCCCGCGCGTCGGAGGGGACCGGAAGAAGCCCGCGTAATTTTCTTCCGCGTCGTTGCGCCTGAAATATTCCTCGCTGGCATCAGCTCCTTCTCCTGTTCGCCCCGCGCGTGATTACACGGTGAGTCGGGTTGCAACCGACGCAGAGCTGGTCCGGGAGGACCGAGCACCGCACGTAGACAAGTCATTAACAACTAGGATCGCCGGGCGTCCTTCTCAGACCATCGGGAATCCGGAGCCAATTTCCTACAAAGACACGACACGGAAGAAGGATCGAACGATCCATCGACGCGAGTCGATTAAGCTAATTCGGGGCTACTCGCCTCGGGATCGTTCCGATCATCGATGGGATCGGAATCCACCTTATTTCGAGTTGTGAGAATTTTGCCAGCGACGAGATAAGAACGGGGGTGAAATTGGTGGTGAAAATTGGTTCACGGAGGGGATTTGTTAAGGAATGAGTTGATTAGAAAGGTGGATTTTAGTAAATTTCTGGCGAAGAACGGTGTTCAAGTTCAAGGTTGCAAGTTTAATTTGGCAGAAAAGTTGTGGTTTATCGGTAGAGGGGGATTGTATGAAGTGCAACTAAGTCTAATTTAGTTATCGATTCAAGCTAACATCGGAAAATTTTGTGAAGCAATCCAGTTGACACCCTTAATGAACCTGGCCACGTGACTCTCGCACGAGGCGTTTGTTAAATTTTCAAATCCTCCGATGTTAGCTCTGTAAAAGACTTGGAGCCTAACTTTGGAGTCCCATTTCTCCATTTATAACGCAGTTCAGTCGCGAACCTATTTTTGGTCAAAGTTAATGTAATTGCCTCGAATCGAGGGTACATTTAATTTAATCAGTATACAAATGACAAAAGCGACGGTTCCTATTCGTTCGCGCGATATTTCGCGTATAATATCGCCATCGGCGATGATAAACCATACCATTCGCAGTCGTTTGTCTAGCTTTCGTAGATTTCTATGGGGCTCGTTTTGTTTTCTTCGACGGCAGGTTCGTTCGTGCCGATAAAATATTATTGCGTGTTTAAATTCAGTCGCGAAACGACAAGCGTAAATTTCTGAACATCAATTACGTTAATTTGTGACACGAATATCGGAATCTACGAGGATGTTTTCCCCAACGAACGATCGATCCCCCTTTTCCATATTAAGAGCGCGCTCAACTCGAAATAAAATTATTTGATTTGTTGAGCGTTTACATTTGCTCACCTGTGGGCTCAAGATAAATTTGTATACGTTGATTCGTTAGCGAGTTCGATTTACGTTGCTCCGGAATTTTCTACTTGAAACTACAACATTCATAAATTGAACAATATTTCCGTGACTGAAGAGTCCATCCAAATAAATCAGATGATTTTGTTTCTGCGACGAAGTGTGTACCACCATGTTAGGAAAGTTTTTTTGAATGTATGTTGTCAGACAAAATGTACAAAAGTCGTGACCGAAACACTGCGGTTATCCAGTCGAGGTTTCTATTCCGTGTTTACATTTGACTCTAGTCATACGTAGAAAAGGACAGAGAGTTAAACAGAAAGAGCTCAGAGGAAAGGAAGTAGTCGTCAGAAGCGTATCAATCGGTTAGTGTCGTATTACTCACTCGCCGAGTCATCTTGCATTCATCCAGTGAATCCTGTCTTGCACTTATCCAATCTTTACTATACATCGTGTGCGACCGAACTAGAAGCCTGGCAACAGAGAAATAACTAAATCAATAAAAGTCTAGCAATCTGTCTAGATAAATCAATAATATGCTGAGTAGCACCCATCCAATAGTAATATTCTATCAAAATAAATATTCTTTCAAATCTCTCTCAAAATAAATATACTAATAGTTTCAATTTCTTTGTTTCAGATCTATCCAAGCCTAAAGGAAGAGGGCTCGGTTCTTGGGGGTGCGACGCAGAGAGTAACGAGGTAATTATTCAAACATTGAATATTATTTAAGTCAAGTAAAATCTTACGAAAGGAGGAGGAGGAGGAGGATTCCAAAAATTTTATCTATCCTTACGTGGAAGGTGCGAAGAATTGCCAAAATCGTCCTAACGTAATTAATGAACGCTTTCGCAAGCCACCGTATTTCAGAGTTAATCAGATGAAATCTAAACGACCCTACACATAGACGCGTCCTTTGGGCTCGGATAAACTTCCCCAAAGCGTATAGAACGTTTCTTCGATGAGGACGGTTCGCAAACGAAAGTCCCGAGGTATATCAGCGGTTAGGTACGTGTTCGTTTAAAATATCGCGGATAGGTACACAATTAAGTGGATCGGTGGGCTTGTTCGGGAGCTTTATCGGTGGCGCGTAGCAGGATTTAAGTGTCGTTTTTAAGAGGCGCGCCCGTTGGAAAGTTGCCCGCTCCTCGACTGGAATTGCGGCGCTGTTAATAACACCGAGGACGAGTACCAGCCGAGATAATAAGAATTCCGAATAGCTTGGCCCTGTGTCCATTAATTACACACTTTTATTCTCGTTTCTGCTTCTCTTTATGGGCCGGGAAGGAGTTCGTTTCGCGGTTGACGATCATAGATTGTACACTGTGTCCGAACGAATTCCGTTCGTTTCTGGTTAATGAAGCCTTTATGGCCGAAAATAAAACCGATTCCACGGCGTTCGGCGACAATAGAGACGGCGGAGAGCCATGAGACGGGTCTCGAAATGGGCGAAATGATTTCCAAGCGGAGAATGAGAAATACCCTATTTTATTTTATTTTATTTTATTTTTTATTTTATTTTTTTTTTACTTTTTTTACTTTTTTTATTTTTTCATTTTATTTTATTTTATTTTATTTTATTTTATTTTGTTTTTATTTTATTTTATTTTATTTTATATAACTATCTAAATCAATTTGATGCTTGAATGTTGGTAAAAATTAGGGGAAGAGAGTTTCATACAAAAATTTCTGTATAACGCAAATCATCGTTATTTAAAACACGATTCTACCAAAATTGAATTGTTAATTAATATTCTATGATACGATTCGAAACGTTACGAGGGAATAGTAAAATATTAAACAACAGCAATTCCGCGTCTCGTTCGGCGCAAAACGCAACTATGTAAATTATCCCAGTCGCGTTTACGTAATTTCATGACACCAGTATTTATTGTCTACGCGTTTTGCAACATTATCTCTATGCTAATAGTCTATAAATGATCCCCGTGCGGATTTTCACGTTAATTACAGACACACCTATACGTCCGGCGCGCAATCGGTTACGGGGCGTACGAAAATTTCACGTGTTGCAGTCGCGTAACGTAATGGGAAACGTTATTTTCTTCGTGTTTTATTACCTCTTCCGTATACACTGCCGTTCAAAAGTATTCGAACGTCGAAGAGAAATGCCGAGCGCATTTTCAAACTAGCGGACGCTTTAATAAAAAATATTTAATAAAAAATTGTAAAATTACTTGCATGGTTAATTGAGAAAGAAAATAATAATCACGTATTTATTTTATCCATGGATGGACAATTGCTGTTTATTGCAATACTTTCATTGAAATATTTTTAAAACGGTGAAATTACTTGCAGGGTTAATTGAGAAAGAGAATAACGATTAGTTTAATTTATTAGAATCATCAAAACTTATTTTAAAGAATAAGACGCGTGATTCTATTCAGACTCGCCATTTTGGTACAGCGTCTATTTTCTTCGCGATACTTTGGGAGCCACTCATTAGGAACTCCAGGATATTTTCGAAGCTCTCGAGATCCTTCGAGTGGAGTCCTCAGCATCCTGGGACCTTCTCGAACCTGAATCCAATCTAAACAATGGCTCTGGCTTGGAGAACGTCGGTCAGCCGCGAAGTCGACCTTAAATGGTCACATTCTCGTGCGGCGTGGTGTGACGTGCCACTCCGAACCACGTGATTTCTGTCGTGTTTCGGTCATTCGTGTTCTTGTTGCCACGAATTGAACCGTCCTGGAGCTAATGACGTTTTCTAACGGAGAACTAGGTAACCTCTTCAACGAAGCACCTGACATTTTCTTGAATGACTTGAAACATTGCGAACGAACCGTGTTTAGTCGTCCACGTCCACTGTCTGTTCTTTTGATAGCATATTGGATTTTTTGCTTTAACTTTCGTGATATCTTAACGAAAGTATTGTCAACGCATAGCTGAGATTTTCTCGAGAAAAATGAGTACAAACACGACCTCATTCGAACTACTTTTAATTTTAAGCAATTCATAGTGATTCAAAATTAGGCCATATGATGTATAATTAAAGGTGGTTTGAATGTGGTCGTGTTTGGACTCATTTTTATCGGGGGAACCTCGACAACACATCGGTAGTTTTTCCAATGAAAGTATAATGAAAAATAGAAAAATTATAATGATTCTTGATTGTGAATTCCTAATTTACTGTGCAATACTTGATAATGCAAACTTACAATCTAGTACCTTAAATAACTGTTACTTCTTAAAATACCAAAAATTTATTAGTTTCTCCTGTTCCATCACACCGTTTTCCCAAATTTTTTTCCATTTCTCGTTTCACCTTTCCGTGGATCCGTTTTAAAGCGGAACGAATCGAGCCAACGACGGTCTGATTACGCGCACGGAAATATTCGCGGAAATTATAATGGCCGAGTAAAGACCAGCCTGTTAAACGTCGATGAAAACCGATTTCCGAACGCGCGCGAACGCTTCCGTCGAACACTCCAATTGATTAGTCCTTTCTAATTTTCTTGCCGCGTGACTGCACCGCGGCCACGCTGGAAAAGCAATTTTCTCGGAGGAAAGGTATCTCACCGGGAAATTAATTATATTTCTCTAGCTGCCGTTTGTAGCCGAGCATAACCAGGTGAACGAGCCACGTGGAGAGGAAACGGAATTTAGCTCAGAAGCTTTTGTTAAAAGCTCGTGAGAGGAAACGCAAGCTGTCGCGATTAGGGCCGTGGCTGTAAGGCTTCAAGAGTTTATAGTGTACGCAAATATAGAAACGTATAAAGTACAAAGTATACAATTTTCGGTCGAGTTAAAATGGTGGTCCTAAATGGGAGCTTCGATAATCGAGGAAAACGTAAAATTTGGAATGCATAGATTCTCAGCTGAGGGGTTCATATATCCTTGGATATTTGGAAATTCTCACTCGGAAGCTCCAGAAAGCTTGCACGAATCTCAGCGCAATGCTATCCAATATGCTATCGAAAGAACAGACAGTGGACGTAGACGACTAAACTACTAAAATCTACTCCACCAAAAATTCGAGTCATCCTCATCGAGCAATTACTTTCAGTGCATCCATAATAAATCAGTCATACCTGAAGACGTAGAAAATGCACGAAAGTTGTTTTTGGCGAAATTATTTATCCAAAGAGGGAAAATGAGAAGGTGAAAGTACATCTTTTCGGTGTACATGGAAATCGCACGGTCATCGACAAGAGACTGCAGGTCAATCCAGGCTTGCCACGTTCGAATGTGACGTTCAAATTGTCCAGAAGAATTCATCTACGTATACGTTTAAATTCTAAATATCTCGTAACCGCTCCAATACTCCGAAGCGATAAAGTGATACGGTATAAAGCGGGAGAAGATTGAAATATCAATTAATTAGGATGTATAGCCGGTGAAAGTAGTAAAATAAATTTCGCGGAATCGTCGATGATAGAAATTTCTAATTACAGGATACATTAACGGGACTTTGATACGGGCACCGTGAAATGTTTTCATAGCACACAAGTGGCTTTTCAAGTGGCCTGGGTTGTGCGGCGCTTACGCTAGAACGGCGTAAACCCGCGGTTATTAGCCTCATTTGCGATTTACTCGAAACGTTAACGAGCCGATCTGCGCATCGAGTTTCTTTCCAGGCGCGGGAGGACACTCCAGTTAACGAAGAAACGTTCCAGCGGTTTTCTTTGCCAGACACGAATTAGTTCCGCTCGCGAATCGTCATCCACCTGATCGATAAGACTTCCCTCCCCCCCCCCCCACCCCCCGACCTCAAACGAGCCCGTTCCTAATTACTCGAAACGCGTGTTACCCACGAGTATGGAATATCTCCGCGCTGCACCGAGTGGAAGGTAATTTAAGATCTAACGCGGAGTACGGCTAATTGGTCAATATTTGATGTTTCCCATGGAAACCGGAATAACACGGCGCGCGGTTAATTCGAACGAAGTTGTCAAGAGCGGGAACGCGAATGCCGATGTAGGGTATTAATTGTTCAAATTTTGCGAAACTCCTCTTTTTACCTTCGTCGAGGAACCAGAGTTTCAGGAAACTATTCCCGATGGAATGTTAATTAATCAATTTCGATTTTGGAGCGTGTATGTTCATATCGTAAGGATCCCTTGAATTGCTTATGGAAATCAGGAATGAAAATTAACAAATTCCTTATCTTCGTAAGAAAGTTATCAATGTACCGGTGAGGTTCCCCCGATGAAAATGAGTCCAAACACGACCAGATTCGGACCACCTTTAATTATACGTCATTTGGCCTAATTTTGAATCGTTATGAATTGCTTAAAATTAAAAGCGGTCCGAATGAGGTCGTGTTTGTACTCATTTCTCTCGCGAGAATCTCAGCAACGCGTCGATACTACTATCATAAACATAAAATGATAAATATAAACAAATCATCAGATTTAATACAAATTTTCTTCGTTAACATGTCGCAAACTTTTGATTCATTCCTGGGGACATTATCATCCAAAATGAAACCGAAAACGCGACTAAACGCCGAAAAGGCTGTAACTCGAAAACACGAGTGACGCAGGTGCCATTTTTTTTTTCTTTCATTATTTGCACGCTCTAAATTCTCCCCTCCGAGGTTAGGCCCGTACATTATGAAACACTCTGTTCGCCCGTGCATAAATCACCGAGAGTTTACTGGTGTTGTCACCTGGAAGGATAAAGGCGCCTATAAAAGACAAGAGCCGGGGACAGGTTTCAGCTATCGCGAATTGAGATCTCGA